ATCTTTACATATGGCGATTTGTTCAACATGCATAAAATCGTCGAAGTAGATAGTTTAATAAGTTTCAAGCCGACATTTTGAGACAAACAGGTCAAGAAAGGCTATGCGATACCAAAAACCGAAATCTTTCAAGATTTATATCAAAGTTAAAAAATAAGTTGCTGGAGGTCAGTCAAAACAGGTCTCTTTTTTAACCGGATACAAAGATTGGCTCAACTAGGCAAGAAAATTTGCAAGCAAGATCAGTCAATTACTGAAGGCGGACCAAAATCTAATTTCGCTGATAGTACCGAAAGAACTGAAAGATTAAGAACTTTGGAACTATGAAGCAGCACGGACGCTAAAGTATTGACATACAAGTTATGGAATCCTGTTGGTAATATAACTATGTGGTACAAGCCCATTATTCCAACAAATTGAATTGTATGGCAAGCAAGTCCATTAAGAAATATTTACTTTTTACTTCTTTTTTTTCGGTACAGCTCTGTTATTTTTCCTATACAGATTAGAATTATATCGAGGCACAGACAGATTTTGTTCAATACTTGTAACCACTCTTCGTTCCTGCAATAAAGTCTGTTATTTTTTTACCATACGACGTGTGCATTCTTTATCTGGCGCTGCAAACAGGATCGTTATACGCCTTCGTGGAAAACATCTGGAAGTTTGTACGAGCCCAGCCAACCATCAGTAAAATCTTCGAGATTCATCAGGTGAGCTGAACTACGTCCCTTCTGTGTGACCAACCATTGTGAGGTAGGAAGTATCCACTTCCGTAAAGGCTGCTACACACAGTGCCGGCGGCAGGGCCGCCGGGCAAGCCGCCGGCTAAGCCTCCGTACACCCGGCAGCATACAATGCAGCCGGCCTTGCCGCGCAAAGGAGCCGCCGGCATTGCCGCCGGGGTATGCCGGCGGGTTACGCGGCTTGCCGGCGTCACTTCGTTCCTGGCATTCGAGCGGTAGTGTTGTGCGGTTTGTGTTTTCAAACAAATTAAAATGTCGTTTAATTGGGACGACGAAGCTGTGCTGCTCTTAATTGAAAAATTTAATGAAAATGATATATTATGGAATCCCAGAAATGCAGACTATAAGAATAGGAACAATCGACGCACTGAACATAATTGCAAGTGTATTTGACATTTATAAAGGCGAAGTAGAGAGAAAGTTAAAAAATGTAACCTCTCATTATTTTCGGGAAAAAAAGAAGTTCGAACAGATGCACAAATCTGGTTCAGGCATAGACGATGTACAGAAACCCAAAAAACATGCTATTGCGCAAACGCTGACACCCCACATCATCTTTTTATACTCTTCTATCATTACAGTACCTTTTCGCCATTTTCTATTTTGTAAACTTGGGTGCAACCCAAACCTTCTTGTCCTTTTGTATTTTTTTTCTTATTAAAATAAAAATTACAACTGCGGCGGCTGTGCTGATAATTTCCTTATTGATTTTAACCAACCAACCATAAAATATGCACTTCACTAGCGTTCTATGTGACTGTCACAACCGGAATGATGCTTGGCGGCTTTGCGCGGCTAGTATTGCCGACGGCATAGCCGCTCGGCATAAACCCGGCGGCATTGCCGCCGGCTTGTGTGTAGTAGCTTTAAGAGAAACGATCTGAGAACCTGAGAACCACGTCCTAGGTCCCTGCAGAACGAGCCTAGAGAAACAGAGAGCTACAAGAACCAGAGCAGTCTCCGTTATGAAAAATTTGATTTTTCACATAACGCTAGAGTAAGCCAAATCCATTTTATCTATTTAGTCAAAAAAACTTTTGGTAAATCTCCAGTACGAGAACGATCACCCATTAGAAGACAACCAGTAAAAAAACAAGCTAACGTTAGAGAGGAATTCAGAACAACCATGGCTGACAATCCACAAATGTTATTTAACCTATTGAAAGATAGTGTGCCTATTTTTTCCGAAACATCAAATAATTTATGTGTATATTTACGTAAATCTAGAGAATTTGTTGCCGCATTGCATGGCCCATATCAAATTCATGCTTTATCGTACGTAAAATCCAAACTACAAGGAGAACCTTCTGTTATCGTTGAACAAAATAATCCTCAAACTTGGCAAGAATTTGAAGAAATTCTCAAAGAACGTTACAAAGATTCAAAATCCGAATTAATGCTACTTGATGAACTTAGAAATTTATCCCAGTACACAGACTATATGAATTTTCATACTGAAATTTTGCAAAAATTACATATTCTTAGAGAATATGCTCTTTTGGAATTTTCTGATGTAGTTGCTCAATCTAGAGTCGACCTTTACACAGAAGCTGCATTAAATTCATTTGTAACTGGTATTAAAGAACCATATAAATCACTCCTATTCAACGCAACACCTACAACTCTTCAAGCTGCCTTACAAAATTGTCGAAAATACGATAATTTACAAATACAATCGCAATGCATTTACTAAACAAAATGCCAAAAATACTAACGCCATTCAAAAACCGAAACCTACAAATACCGTTCAAAATACACCTATGTGGCGATTCCCTTCAAACCAACAATTTTACAATCCGCAATTTTACCAACAGCCACAACGATCTAACTTCCCACCAACTGGCCCGATTAACATCAGACCAAATTATTTTAATAATCAATTTCAAAGACAAATTCAACCACGACAGCCTAATTTCTATCCACAAAATAGACAAGGTCCACCAAAAAACTTTAAACCGACACCCATATCTACATCAACTAACACGAGACACACTTCGCCTGAATCAGACCCAAACTCGATTCAATTTTCAGACAAAAACTTTTATGCCTATCCTCACCGAATTGAATTTATAACAGGTAAAAAGAAAAACAAGATCAAATTACTTCCGAATAAGACACTAAGGTGCTCTTTAATTAATCACTTATGTACCCCTGGTATTAAATACGGAATTTGGTACGACGATCAGAAACTTTTGCCCATACTTAGTAAAATTATGACACAATCTTTTTCTGCAAAACATATTGTACTAGAAAAAGCTGCATTTAAACCAATTTATTTAGACAAACAAGAAATGAAAGACGAAATAACTTTGTACCATCATAAATTTCACAACGGAATTAATGAAACTTATTCTCATTTCCAAAAGACTCACTATACACCAAAACTTAAAGACCTTATAACTGACATCGTTAATAAATGCGAAATCTGTTTAAAATCTAAATACGAACGAAAACCTTACAAAGAACCAATCCAAGGCCCATTTTTCAGTAACAAACCATTCCAACTAGTGTTCATAGATATTTTTACTATTGAAAATACTAAATATGTAACTTTTATAGACCACTTTAGTCGATATGCCCAAGCCTATCAGACCATGTCACGAAATCACGTTGACATACTATCTAAAATGAAACATTTCTTTTCACATCATGGATTTCCAAAATCACTTCATGCCGATTATGGAGAATTACGTTCAGAAGTTATTAAAGATTATTGTAAAGCTCATGAAATACATTTGCACTTAGGAAGCACCAGCAATCCTAGTTCTATTGCACGAATTGAACGATTACATAGTACCATTGGAGAAAAATTTCGAATCCTAAGACAGACTCGAAAAACAGACACTACTACTGACCTAATGACTGACATAATTACAATCAATCTGTTCATTCTACTACAAAACATACACCTTTTGATTTATTATACGGTAGTACTGAAGACCCTTATTCATCACATCTTAAACAAATATTAGAAAAAGACAAAATTAATGAACAAATCGCTCACGATTCCTATAATCAATTAAAAAAACAAACTAACAAAATAAACGAAAAACGCGTATCTAAGATCCCCGTTTTAAAATCTCCGATCTATATCAAAATCCCAATCAGACAAACTAAGGACAAACCAAAATATCAAAAACACACTATTTTCAAACAACAAGGAAATCAAATTTTAATCAAAGATAGAAAAAACATGCTGAGACGAATCAAGCCTCAACGTAAAAATCCTTTACAGAGCTCTACCAGTCCAATGCCTACCAATTCGAGCGCTACTGATGAACCCTCTGCTCAAAGCACCTCCGGTAATCAAACTGCCGATAGGAAATTCAAGATTAATCGAAAATCGTCATAAAACTCAATTCCATATTAATTTAAATTATATAACCAATCCAAAACTACGTGAAAATCAACACGCACTGAATCTACAGAATTAAAATGTTATTTTCTTCTGTAAAGGTTTGCAAGGCACTTTTGAGCACAATACTATCAATATCCAAGAAAGCATAGTTTCTGTTACACAAAATATGGCTTTTCAAATGAAATTCTTCGAGCAAATCGCACATCAAATAAGTTTGAATTCAAATTAATCATTTGAGCGTCCTATCCATTCTTTCATTAAATCATAGGGAAATAAATATCCTCATTGAACATTTGCAAACTTTACTTTACTTTGCGAAATGAATCATATTCGTAATTCATGTACCTCTTCTTGACCGTAAAAACTTACAGTGTTTTTGAATTGTATCCGTTAATTATAAGGAATGAATTAATAAAGATCCCAAGCAATTTTACTTTGTAATTTGAAGAAGAAATATTTTGCTCCAATTTAATCAAACTAAGTAACAATCCGCATTTATGTTTTTAATTACTAAACAGGCACATGTAAGCCATCTATGTTAGAAAATTGTCCTCATATTCACTTAAAATACTATTAATATTAATAATACTCGTATTTCAATTGATATTAAAGACTGCAAGCAGATTGAATTATCATTGCCTTTACTTGAAAGTAATTTTAGCTTTTTAAATCCTTCTTATTACCAAAATCATTTGGAAATAATAGGTCATACTAAGTTGCAAAACCTTTCTTACGACTCTTACAGGTTTGGAACCATATTGTAACTGTAACTTAAATTTTCTCTAAGTTGGAGACCAACTTTTCGTAGGAGGGAGGAGTTATGGAATCCTGCTGGTAACATAACTATGTGGTACAAGCCCATTATTCCAACAAATTGAATTGTATGGCAAGCAAGTCCATTAAGAAATATTTGCTTTTTACTTCTTTTTTTTCGATACAGCTCTGTTATTTTTCCTATAAAGATTAGAATTATATCGAGGCACAGACAGATTTTGTTCAATACTTGTAACCACTCTTCGTTCCTACAATAAAGTCTGTTATTTTTTTACCATACGACGTGTGCATTCTTTATCTTACATTATTCAGCACAAATAAAATTTAGAGCAGAGGGAAATGTAAAAGCTGCAAAATTGATAAAAAATATATCTAACTTCTGATTCGCTCTATCAGACATCAATTTTTATAAGGTATTTAAGTCGTGCTATAATTTTAACGTATTTTTTCCTTGTTATGTTTGAAATATAAGATTTGTGTTTTTAAAGAATCCTTCTTATTCGGCAATCGCTATAATATTATAACGATCCTACCTCCTATCAAACATCATGATATCAACTTATTTCAAGTACGCTACACCATATTCTTCAGCGATCTCAAAAGCCCTTCTGTACTAAATTTCGCAAGGATGCTACAGAAGTTGTCTGTAAGAGTTCCATACAAAATATATAGGGTCTGAAGGGGAGCATAGATAATCATGCTAATCGTACGTTACTTGTCAAGCCGTCGTCAGAAAAGATGTAGGGTTTGTGATATCCAATGAATTCAGACTATGGAGAAGGAGCGAGTCTGTGATTTCTGTCTCCAAAATTTCATAGTCTGTGTTCAGGATAAAAGTTCATACTACAAGTCGATCAAGCTTAAGCTGCCAGTTTGACAGTTGTTGCCATTTCACATGAAATTCGTATTTCTCTTCGAAAACATTTAAAAGAGGGTGGGTTTCACACAGTCCTAGCGTTTTAGACAATTGTCGAGAATGTTCAAGGTTTCTGTGGAATCCAAAACGCCTTTTAAACTGAATAATCGAGCAAGTGTCGGTAGTTCTCAGTCATCGGCGTTGTAAAAGGGGATTTCGGGCTTTTACCTGGACAGTTTTAAGGTAATTTTGATATATTTCAGTCCACTTCTTGTTTTTTAAGTGCTCAGTCCGAATCTAAGGCTAGTTACTAGGATGCTATACCTAACAACAGCTTTGAAAATGTATTGGAGTATTGGATACAAACGAATTTTCTTAATGAATGGCTGCAACTAAAACTTTAACTTTGTATCTTATCTACTTTCATTTTATTATTATTAGTATTACAAAGTAGAAATGAGCAGACTAGAATACTATAAGCTCATGTACAAAAGGAACACGTGCTAAAGGGATAAGTAGCGAAAACTACATAAATAAGAACAAAAAGTTCAGAGCCATAAATTTTGGTCACTGTTTGATCAAAGTTCTAAAAGTCACGAGATTCTATTGAGAAAAGTCAGTATGCTCCAAAAAAACTATGAACATCAAATTAATTGAATTGCTTCCTAATATTTTTATTGGATGAAGTGACAATGATGTAACGGAAAAAAATTCCATATGATGCTTGCTTTTAGCCAAGAATCTGCTTGGATCATAACAACTGAATGTGGAGTTGTAGATTAAGGTTATGTAGGTTTTTGTGAGTTTTTGGGAAGTTGAATAGTATTTTTTCATTTCAAAGGATGCCATTCGTGAAAATATTATGTATCTGAAAGGTTGCCAGGTCTTTTGTACCCCATGGCCAGCTACCACTGGTTCTCTCCCCCAGGTTGTGGGCTATTGACACGCCAGCGACTCGAATTGAAAATGTATCGTGCACCGTTCTATCCAGCATATCCAGAGAAGCAGCTTTCCCCTTTTCCGTGTTGTTAAAAACGGGATGAATGGCGATCGAAGGCGACCCATGTCAATTTGTTTAATGAATGCTGAATATTTCAAATTGCGAATTCTTTTCTATCCGAGGTTCCATTTGAATGGAAAAAGCGATGGATGCTGGCTTAACAGATGCAGGTCAATACCATGGAGATTGCGTGAGGTTTGCATATCTGCAATTCGTGGGACTTCGAGATCCATAGTTTATATCTACTCATTTTTCGAAGTTATATCCAAATCGCGGATCCCGGATTGGTGTAAAAGGTTCGTTCACTCCAAAGCGTCGAAAAATGCATGGGCATACCATGCTACAGCATCTGGCATCCGAAACTCAATTTTTACTCCCTTTTGTAGATAGTTTTTGGGCAAGGGAGTGAACCCTAGGGGTGTGGGGATCTTTTTGATCAAAAAGTCGGATTCAGCCGTAAAAAATACGAAAACTCAATTTTCACGTCTCCTAGCAGGGGTTTATGGCCCAGGAAATGTATTTTTGATCCCGAATTTGAATTCGGCGTCAAAAATACGTAATAATACATGGTCTTCCTCACGTATATCAACCTTTATTTTTTGACAGAGACATACCATATACATATAATTCCTACTTCCGACTATGATCTCAAAGCTACTGAACTTTTGTTACATAAGTAAAGTAAAGTACTTATCTATAAAATGTATGCATTTGTTCCTAAGGCATCACGTAGTTTTAATACGAAAATTAAATAATGCAAAAATGCTGTAGCTTAAGGACTTCGTGAAACTATGTGTATGTTATATATACCTTTCAAGATTCACTTTTTGTACATAATGCATGCAGAAGTGAATATAATAACGACCATTTTTTAATAGTACTACTTCTACCATTTTTCCATAGAGTTATGATCTTAATCTTTACTATAGCTAGTCTGTTGAAGTTTTTAAGTTAAGTTGATATTTTTTCATTCTCACATAAGCCATACATCACGGTGATCTGAAAAAAAATGTATATGTGTATGGTTGCACATCTGTGGTCCAGTACGTTAAGAGCTGTTAAACCAAATAAAAAGCTGAATTTGAAGAGATATTGATAAGAGTGACGGGATTAGATAATTTCAAGGCCGAAAACAGGGCGGTGATGTTTAGTAGGAAGGATAAATAAATATACTAGTACGTTATAGTCCCAGACCACGTACTGGTTTTCAGACCCGTCAAAAAGTCGAAGAGCTTAGTCGCAAAATTTTGCAGACCCTTTGACTATCACCTATTCTTGTTGTTACAAGATTTTCTGTCTCATACAATAGGTCATAAATGACGACTGGCCATATATTATTTATTAATTTTTTGTTTTCTTTTTATCCGTCTAGAAAGTCAATAGTCGAGAGGATTCAAAGCTAAATAATTTTTTTGCTGGAAATATATGAAATCGGCGAAGACATTGGTTATATATAAATGTGGTAGAGCTGCGCAACTTCAGTATTAAGAATATTATCTCATGATTTGAACATAGTATTCCTGAAGTTGCCAATTTTATATACTTTCAACGACGGACTCATTTAAAAATTCTCTTAGTTGGTGCTGGCTACCCTAAAGATATCAAAATTTGACCTCAATTATGAGCTAACTATGATCAAAGCACATCTTTCTGTAACTTTCTTTTATATCACTCACGCAATGAATTTTTATTTAGCAAACGAATCCTAAACAGTGGACGCAGCCCTTAATTATACCTGTCCCTCACATTTCAAGTTCTACTGAACGTAAATCTCTCACATTTATTAGCTTGTTTCCCGTGCTTTCAAAAATTCTAGAAAAAAATAGTAGGGTAAACCGGTGAAATACGCCTCACCGGGGAATACGCCCCAGTGTCACCGTAACAAATTACGTCCGGCAGCAGTTACCTTAGCCACCGCCATTACGTTGCTGTCATACTCCAGAAAGTCGGCCGTGTGTGTTTATGCCAATTTATTGCGTTTTATTTGAAAAAAATATGCATTATTGTCATCTAGAGCCCATAAAATTTTAAGGTATGTAATATTTTTGTTTTATTTTAGAATGTCTTGCAAAATTTTTATAGTTTTGGGATCACTTTAGACAAACACCATTTCTAACCTATAAATTGCGCCAATTCCGCCTCGGTTTGCATTTCATGTTAGCTTGATAACCGGTGGGGCGTATTCCCCCGCGTTTCGGAAATACGCCCCAGTAAAATTCGTGTAAAACGCCCCACCCAATGGTGTGAGTTTTAGTTAATTTAGGTACTTTTGGTTTACAGAATATGGGTAGAGTATATGTTCGCAAAACCACCCGTGCTTCATTTAGTGAAGAAGCATTGGCAGAGGCTATGCAAAAGGTAATTTCAAGAGAAATGGGCACAAATGAAGCAAGTAGAGCGTATGGGATTTCATCTCGTACTTTACGAAGGCATTTGATCGCCAAGTCTTCAAAAGTACGCTTAGGCCGTTGTCCAGAAATAGGAATAGAACACGAAAGAAGGCTGGTCTTACATATAAAGGCCCTTGAAAGAGTTGGCTTTGCACCAGATGCTACTTCTGTTAAAAAAATGGCATTTTCATTTGCAGAGAAGCTTCATTTAAATCACCGATTTTCCAGAGAAGCCAAATCAGCTGGGGATGATTGGTTTCAAGGGTTTTTGCGACGTAATAGAGAGCTTAGTATCAGAAAGTCAGAAGGGCTCTCACTAGCTAGGGCAACAGGAATGAACAGAACAGATGTTAGCAATTTTTTTACTCTTTTGCGCGATGTCATCATAAAAAATAACTTGCTTAATAAACCAGATAAAATATTCAATGTCGATGAGACAGGCATTCAGATTAACAACAAGCCTGGGAAAGTAGTAGCAACTAAAGGGACAAAAGATGTTTATTCATTGACAACATCAGAAAGAGGAGAAAATATTTCCTTAGTTTCATGCTGCAACGCAGAAGGTTACTTTTTGCCACCTGTTTTAATATTTAAAGGAAAGAACAAAAAAGATGAATTTTTGGATGGTCTTCCTCCCGGATCCGGTGTGCTAATGAATCCAAAATCATCCTACATTAATTCAGAATTATTCCTAAAATGGTTTAAAGATTACTTTTTGCCAAAAAAAGGCAATGGGAAAGCCTTATTAATATTGGACGGGCACGCATCCCATTGTAATGCTATTGAGCTATTAGATTTAGCTAATGAAAATGAAGTAGTTATTTTGTGTCTCCCCAGTCATACGACACAAGCTCTTCAACCCTTGGACAGGTCTTTTTTTAAGCCACTTAAAACTTATTTCTTTCAAGAAGCAAAAAACTGGATGATTCAAAATAAAAATAGAAAGCTATCCAGAATAAATATTTCGAGATTAATTGGGAATGCATGGGGCAAAAGCGGCAACCGTCGCGAATGCCACATCTGGGTTCAGAGCTTGTGGTATTTATCCATACAATCCTCAGGCCATTCCAGAACATTTTTTCTCCATTTCGGACGCCAGTATCTCAGCCGCTAGCGCAAATAAAGCTCTTCCTTCAACATCAAATCATTCTAATTTAACTCCAGGGCCAAATAAAGCTCAACCTTCTACTTCCTTCTCTCCTGGACATACAAACATGGGTGTTTCTGATATGTCTACCGATTCTCAAACCTCCAACGAAGCCTCAGAAGTTTCATTAAATTTAGAAGAAAAAGAAACTCCTTCAAAATTTTTAAGAGAAGATAACCCAATTCCTCTAATACCTAATACAATTCCGAAAAGGAAACAACATGCTTTAGAACTGACGTCTCCTGAAAATCGGGTTAAAAGACGAGTATTCTCAGAGAAAAAAAAACAAGCTCAAGATAAAAAAGACAAACGAAAAAAGCCGAGCGAAAATGAGAAAAAAATTAGGAGGAAAGCCTGCGTTAAACAAGTTAAAAGAAAACAAAATGTATCAAGTTCGTCTTCGTCGGAAACTGAACCACATTTTAGCTCCTCTGAAGACTTATCTGATGACACTGATGATTACTGCCTTGAATGTCGCGAATACTACTACACCACCAAATCTAAGGTTGACTGGATTCAATGTGAAGCATGTAGTAAATGGTTACATGAAACCTGCACGAACCACACAAACATGTGTAATCTTTGTGCCACGAAAAAACGTTAATTTTCTACTAGGGGCGTATTTCACAAGTTTCGGGCAAATACGCCCCAAATGCTTTTTTTTTTAAGTTTGGTTGTTTGTAACTTTTCTTAACCTTAGTGAGAAATTATGTTTATATTAGAGAAAAACGATGTTTAGTTGCTTTGTTTTTGTATTAATGAATAAAAAAATTGGTTTATTATGTTGGTGATTTCCATTTTCCAAAATGTGGGGCGTATTTCACCGGTCTACCCTATAGAAACAATATAGATTATACAGGGTTGTCCAATAGGGACGCAGGAAAGTAAACGTCAATTTGAGACGCCATCTTTGTTTTCTGTCACCGACATGTCATTTTGTTAGTTGAATGATTACCATTGATCGCTATGAAGTCGTATTCGATTGAAGACCGCATTAAAGTTATTCAAGAGCACTACAAAAATGGTGCAAAAATAAAAAACACGTTTCGCGCGCTTCGTGAACATTTCGGTCGCAACAACCGCCCAAACGAAACAACCATCGGTCGTCTGGTGCGTAAATTCGAAGCTACAGGTTCTGTGGCAAATCTGCCAGGCTCTGGCCGGCCAAGGAGCGTTCGCACACCGGAAAATATTGCTGTTGTGAAGGAGAGTGTGAGAGACGATCCGAAACAATCAACAACGCGTCGATCCCAAGAATTGGGCATTTCGAGAACCAGTTTGCTCCGCATTCTCCACAAGGATTTGACTGTACATGCCTACAAGATCCAATTGACGCAAGAGCTGCGTCGGACCGACCATTTTTCGCGCCGAACGTTCTCAGATTGGCTCCTTGAACACCGCCAAATTGATGCCAATTTTTCATCAAAAATCATGTTCAGCGACGAAGCGCATTTCACTTTGAATGGGACGGTAAACAAGCAAAACTGCCGCATCTGGGCGAACGAAAATCCCCGTGAGTATCAAGAGCAGCCGATGCATCCTCAAAAAGTGACTGTGTGGTGTGCATTGTGGTCAAAAGGCATCATCGGACCTTACTTTTTCGAAAATGCGGCCGGGGACGCCGTTACCGTCAATTCTGAGCGATATCACGTGATGATAGAGGACTATTTTTTGCCGCAACTTGAAGGAATGGATATGGACGATGTTTATTTCCAACAAGACGGTGGAACATGCCACACAACCAACGTCAATATCCATCGATTGCAGTCCTTCTTCGGTAATCGCGTGATTTCGCGCAGAGGAAATGTGCCATGGCCACCAAGATCGTGCGATTTGACTCCCTTGGACTTCTTTTTATGGGGATATTTGAAAAGCAAAGTCTACGTCAACAAACCAGCCACCTTCCAAGAACTCAAAAACAACATCATTGCCGAGATAAATGCCATAGAACCGACCATGTTGCAAAATGTCATTGAAAATTTCGACCATCGCGTGGACGTCTGTAAATCCAGTCGTGGTGAACATTTGAGCGATATTATTTTTCATACATAAATGGTATAAATGAACCTTCAAAATAAAGTACACAACTTGATTTGAATATCAATCTTTCTTGTTTTAATATGCGTTTACTTTCCTGCGTCCGTTTTGGACAACCCCATACTTGAGCTAAAACAAAATACCAAACAAATCTAAATCAAGACGATCACGCTGAGAAAATGTATGTCGAAATGCAATTAATGCACGACGCAAATGCCATATTCATGTACCCTCGCTCATTTGGGTCGAACCAAGCTCCTCATGCCAAATTACATCAAGCCGTTTAGGCTGTAGCTCGTGAAATTTCAAGGTTATTGGTATCTTTGTTGACGTGAAAAATGCCTTTTATATGGTGAACCACATCGAGCTTCTCAAAGTTATGGAAAGATTGTGATTTAAAAGAACAGTGTCTTAAGGAACACTAGGCCCCCCAAATATTTAATCTCTACTCATATTACTTATTTAAAATCAATAGTACTGGAAAAATTATATGTTTTTTATACGTAACCCTCACATTAGATAAAGCTGATGACTGGAATACTCATACTCTGAGGCAAATCGTTGAAAAGGATTTTATAATGATCATTATCTGGTTTGATAATAATTTTTTAACAGATAACGAACTTAAAAATAAACGCGAATCACCAGACATAATTATATACAAAACTAAAACCTCCATATTCAAAATTATGCAAGTACCTTTTAAAACAAATTATATTTGTTATACACATATAATCTTTGTTAACTAGTTAGATATTATACAGGGTGGCGCATCGAAAACGAAACATGCATTTACTGGCAGCTCAGTTCTTTTTTTGGGAAAACGCTCAGACCCGTCGATTTTGTTTTCGAGGGGGACACAAGTTTGGCAAAAAATCACGTTAACACGTGCAGCCCCTTGGGCGGGGATGACACCAACCTCAAAATCTTAGATTGAAAGGGGGGTCGAGTGATACCTTATTTCAAAGGTCTTTCAATTCCCTTTATAATGATGTAAAATACATAAGCTTCAGTTCAGTAGTTTAGAAGATTTGTTGATTTAAAGCTTTAAGACTTTAATAAGTACATTAGATTAGTTCGTACTACTTTCAGAAGAAATTTGACTAAAAGAATTTACTTAATAATCAAATGCTTTTCTTCACTACGCCCATGGTTTGTTTATGATTTTGTTGTTGAAAATAGCTATTGGAGCGTTTTTTTGTGGCAAAAAAGTTATTTCTTGACGAAAGATAAGGAAATATCTCGTACGTATTTTAAATAGGAATTTAGTTAATAGTTTGCGATTGATTTGACCAAACTTTGTTGCTAAAATAACTTTAATAACGCTTTATCACATAAATTAACCGGTGAAATCTATTTGTAATTACTGGAAGACGCCATAGATCCTGCATTAACAGCCATAATTGAAAATCAGAATGATCGGCGCTACATTGCGAATAGGTTGATGTTCTAACAGGATGGTGCCCCACCACATTACGCATTACGTGTTCGACAATATTTAGATCAGATGTTTCCAGATCGATGGTTTGGTAGAAGAGGTGCCATTGAATGGCCCCCAAGACCGCCAGATTTATCACCTTTGGATTTCTTTATGTGGGGTCATTTAAAAATCAAAATCTATGCTACTCGGTCAACATCATTAAAAAGACCTGCGACAAAGAATTGTGAATGAGTGCCTTCAAATTACTCCTCAAATATTGCAAAATGTGCGGCAACGTTTTGAGCAAAATGTTCATTATTGCATGGAGAGTCATGGTGGCCATTTTACATTTACTTGCCTAACGGGTCAGTTCATTCTTCATTTTTAAATTACTTTGCTGCCAAATGTATTGATCACCACTAATGATGATGTATTTAAGCTTTAAATCAATAAATCTTCAAAACTACTGAACTGAAGTACATTAATTTTATATCACTATAAAGGGAAACAGTTTCAGTATTACTGGTATCTACAGACCTAATCCTACGAATGTACAGGATTTTGTAAACAATTTGGATTCGTATTTGAGAAGTACTGCAAACTGTGACATTTCCTTGTTGGTGGGTGATATAAATATAGACTTATTGAGAGAACATGAATACAGCAATTTAAGATACGTGAATATGTTACAACAGAACGGGTACATATCTCAGATTAATACACCTACTAGGGTAGATTCTAACTCATCTACGATTATCGACCACATATTTTTGAAGACAAACAGATTTAAGGTCTGTTTTGTTCAATGTTGGATATTTGAAACGAAGTAATTGTATCATTAATAAAAACAGCTAAGAATTTAATAAAATTCATGAGACTACAAAACGTAAGCCGTAGATGACTGACGGTATTCTTACTTCGATCAAGAAGAGAGAGTTGAAACAGAGTTTGACGAAAGATAACGATAATTTGATATGGAGACAGTCCTATATCTCCTTCAGAAACAGAGTAACTAATCTTATTAAGATCTGCAAAAATCAATATTACACACAAAAATTTATTTTAGCAGGTAATAACTATAGGAAAAGCTGGGATGTTATTAATGAGGTAACTAATGCTGGCAAAATTAAAAAAAATGGCGTAAAATCAATTAATCACAATAATCAGCAGCTGGACGCTCCCAGTGATATAGCCTGTATTTTTAATAAATATTTTGTTGATATAGGTGAGCAAATAACAAGTCAGATTGATCAAAACTCAATTCTTGATACATCAGATCTTCATGTCGTCAACATTGCTCACTCTATGTTTCTAACTCCAGTCGATAACATAGAGTTACAGCAAATAGTTTGTAATCTGAAAAATAGTACCGCACCCGGAAAAGATGGCTTACACACTAAAACTATCAAAATGATCATGAAGTATATCAGTCACCCTATAACTCACATTATCAACCTCTGTTTCAAATCTTCAGTAATTCCTCGACAATTTAAAAAAAGCATAGTGACACCGACATTTAAATCTAGAATAAAGACAATTATAGACCTATTTCAGTTATCAATGTATTTGGGAAGATTTTTGAGAAGTGTTTGAATAGCAGACTTTGTTCTTTTCTTGAGAAATATGACATAATATCGAACTGTCAATTTGGGTTCCGCAAGAATTGCAATACAGAGCAATCTCTACAAGAACTTATAGGACAAGTGCTTGAAAATTTCTAAGATGGAAATAAGACTGTTGCAGTTTTCCTATATCTTCAAAAGGCTTTCGATTCAGTATCTCATACAATTTTATTAAAGAAAGTGTTGGAGTTCGTAGTGGAGTTCTGAGCTTATTTGAGAACTATTTGGCTGATCGATTACAAGTTAAGGTAGGGTCAGATTTAAGCAGCATTCAAAAGATCAAAATAGGTGTGTCTATGGGACGGTTTTGGGACCAACACTGTTCCCCATATACATAAATGAACTACTTCGATGCAATTTCAACTGTAAAATGATATCATATGCAGACGATACTGTTTTAGTTTGCACTGGTTATTCATGGGATGACGCAATACGGAATGCTGAGTTGTCATTAAATAAAGTCAAATGCTGGTTGGATAACAATTTACTTAAACTTAATATCTCTAAAACTAAGTATGTAACGTTTTCTCCAACCAAAGCAGGCATGCCATTACATCACCGAACATTAATTGTAAATGATAGAGCTGACACTGTCGAAAGAGTTGAAGTTATTATATATGTATACTTAGGAATCATTGTTGGCAGAGTCATGCCAAGCTGGCTGTTGGCATCGAAATTAAGGAGAATTATTCATTCAAGTTTTTCATTCTTAGGAATATTTTAAGCAGAACGAGTCTTCTCTCAATATATAACTCGTTTTTG